TCCAAGCATTCTGTTGAAACTACACTTTAATTAAAAAAATTCTTAAAACAAAAAAAAACTGAATACAGGTCAACAGCGTGCCCTTGTTGCCAAGCAAGCTAACAGCATACTGGGCTGCAATACCAGAAGCACCACCAGCAGATCAAGGGAAGTAATTATTACCCTCTACTCTACATTGGTGAGGTCACACCTGGAGTACTGTGTCCAGTTTTGGGCCCCCCACTACAAAAAGGACGCGGATAAGTAGGAGAGAGTCCACTGGAGGGCAGTGCAAATGGGTAGGGGCTGGGACACATGACTTCTGAAAAGAGGCTGAGGGAACTGCTTATTTAGTCTGCAAAAGAGAAGACTGAGAGGGAATTTGATAGCAGCCTTTGACAGAGCTACACTTCTCAGCGGTGGAAGATGACAGAACAAGGACCAAAGGTCTCAAGCTGAATTAAGGGAAGTTTAGGTTGGCTATTAGAAATAACATTCCCACTAGGAGGGTGGTGAAGCACCGGAATGGGTTACCTAGAAAGGTGGTGGAATCTCTATCCTTAGGGGTTTTTAAGGTCTGGCTGGAATGATCTAGTTAGGGATAATCCTGCTTTGAGCACGGGGTTTGGCCTGGATGACCTCCAAGGTCCCTTCCAACCCTAATTTTCTACAATTCTATGATTCTAAACCAGGGGTAGGCAACGCTTTTTGGCCGAAGTGCCAAAAAAGCTACAATGTCTACCTTGTATAGTGCCTGAGTGCCAACATGCTGGAGCCTGGAGCAGCTGTTTGCAGCCTCCCGACTGCAGCCAGCACATGGGGCCCAGTCTGCTTGCACCAGGGTCTGCAGAGTCCCAGCTGCCTGCTGGGAGCACTCTGGGCTCCGTGGCTGGCAGCAGCTGCTTAGAGCCCGGGCTGGCAGTGCTGTGCCAAGGAAAATGGCCTTCTGTGCCATGTTCAGCATGCATGCCGGGGGTTGCTGACCCCTGTTCTAAACAAAAAACACTTTAAATAGTTAATTAATTCTATCAATCTACAGCTGCACTGGATGCAATATAAGAAAAGGCTTATGCATGATTCTGGTGTAGATCAATCAAATTAGGTCTATACCAAAATCCTTGATTGCTCTTTTCGCTTAGGATGAAGCAGAAGCTTCAGTTTCAGCTTCCTCCTCCTTTTCACTGTCTAATAATTTTACTACTTTCCACATGTAACACTGAGTGAACGCATATCTAACAAGCAAGTCCTCTGAACTGTGGCCTCTCAGTGACTGGCTTACAAGTAAGGGCTGAAACAAAAAAGACTTGAATTCCTTCTTTTGAAAGCTGCACTACAAATCAGCAAGCAAAAAGAAAGCTCAGATTTCAATTTTTCAGGCTGGAGAGTGAGGAGAGATTGGCGATTGATTGGATGAATCAAAAACCTTGATTTCCTGTACACACCTTAACTGCAAGGGCAGCTCACTGGCCCCAAAGCAATCATTTCTGGATGGCTTCCAAAACCACTTATTAATATTGCCCATTTACTATGGTCAGTGAAAATAAATACTATGTTGTATTCTAATCATTTCTGCAAAACATCTCATTTAAAAAAGAAAGACATTCCTAAACCCTTAGGTTCCAAGAATCTTTCCAACAAGGAAGATGACACAACTTTTCAAAACTGACAAAGAGTTTACCGACACAAAGAAGCTCACCAATTTCAACACACATTAAACAACCAGAAAGGAAAGATTTAAACCATCAACATCATTTTTGTTTGACTAAACGTTTTAGTAGAAGCTTTCAACAGGTAACATATCCTACAGTAGGATATATTTTGGCAAGAATTTACCCTTGATGTCAGTCCCCTAAGTGGTGGTAGAAATGAGAAACACCAACAAAGACTTGGATTTAGGTGGCCAGTAGCTTTTTAAATACTACAGCTAGGAGTGCACCAATAGAGATGTTGGGGGCTGATATGGATCGCCGATCTTTAGGGAGACACATTGGCTGATACCGATCCAATTTCCGATACAGCTGCGTGCAGCTGGTAAGTCTGTTGTAGTAGAAGAGGAGTGAGAAGGGAAGGGGCATGGCAGGGTGGGTGCAGATCAAGGCCCCTGAGGTTAAGGAGGAGTAAGGCTGGAACTGGGGCAGGGCAGGGAAGGAGGGAGCAACAGCTCATCCAGGGGCTGCAGGGGGGGCAGCTCCCGCCGCTGTGCGCACCCCAGAAGGGCATGGGGAGGGGAAAAACACGTGTGCCCCCCAGATCTGCACAGGGTAGGGCAGGGCGAGCTGCAGCTATGGGCTGGGGCCAGGGCAGCGCAGGGCTCTTCTTGGTGGGAGCTGGGGCAGGTGGCGGCAGCGCTGGGAGGGGGACAAAAGGGGGGGCTGCAGCCACCCTAAATTTTGCTGTAGCCCCCTTGTAGCCCCCTCCCAGTGCCGCCACCACCCACCCTTAGTGCAACCCAGGCCCAACTTCAATCCCCTCCCTCCCACATGCCGGGAAGAGCCTGGCGCAGCCCTGGCCCCAGCCCACAGCTGCAGCCCACCCCGCTCCCCTCTCCCCGTGCAGTTGTGGAGGCACATGCCCACCCCCATGCCTTCTGGGGTGAGCGCAGAGGCAGGAGCCGGTCTCTCCCCACCCCGTGGCTCTGTCCCGTGCCCCACCCCGCCCTTGCCGGGCAGCACCGGCCCCACTCCCTCCCTCACTGCAGGGGGCGAATATCTGCCCCCCCTCCATGGCCCTTCCACTGCAACAGATTTACCAGCTGCATGCAGCTCTCCAAGCTGCTGGGCTGTGCTCCTCGCTGCCTACGTGCTGCGCTACAGCTGCGTGTATGCATGGGTATTTATCAGCCAAATTATTGGCCACATCATGCTGATTTCCAATACAATCAATTTTCTTTATATTGGTGCTGATCCAATATCGAACCGATGTGTCGGTGCACCTCTAACTACAGCACATAGATCTGTTCACAGGATCTTCACAAATTAAACTTATCCTTTTTAGCCACAAACAATGGAGCTGCACCATGATAGAATGGTCTGATATAGATAATTAAAAATTTAATGTTAAAAAGTAAAAGGAAGCTACGTAAATGCTTACGCAAATTTTGTTTATGATATTCCATGCACAGTAAAACTTACTGTTTTAGTTCTTCTTTGAAAAGTTCCAAATTGCTCTTTTTCTTTTCTTTCTCCCCTTTTTTCAAAGGCTAAAACAAAAAGATATACCAACCAGTATTTCAGAATGACACCCAATGAAAATTTATTAAAACAGGGTTGCAACCTATATTTTAGATTGCTTCCAAGCAACATTTATCTTTGATCCACAGATTTCCAAATGATTAAATGAAAATTAAACTGTGCAATCATTAAAATTAATTGGTAGGTGAAACAGAATTAAGAAAAATACAGAAGTTAAGATTGTATATGAACTTTAACTCTGCCAGCTGAGTTCCTATGTTACAGTATAGCCTTTATTGTATCCTCAAGTTTCCACATTTTATCCACAACTTACGAACATTAAATATCTTGCAATGCATTTTGTCTTGTATATTTAAACATTTTCACAAACGTTTCCTGCATCCTTGGTGACTTAACCCCTTATGTTAAACAATACATATTTTTATTTAAACACAAGCAATACATTTTAGCAGAATTTCTTTTCTTGGCTTTTACTTACCATGGAGAGAGAGCTCTGAGGAAATTAATTTGTAGGTCAAATTTTCAGAAAAATGCTCAAATTAAATTAATAATAGAAGGTATTCTAATATGTCAAGCTTTATTTGTTTCACAGCATATGCATTTTACCTGACTCTAGGGTGAACCATGTCATCTCCTGTCACATTATTTGCACATCACATAATTTAAATGATTTTTTTCATATAAACCGATGTAACAAATGTTTATCATATTACAGCTCTGGAAAAAAATTCCTACAGCAACATGGCAGCAAAGGGCTCGGAGGACAAGATGTACTGTTGCTGCACTATTAGTAGTTCTAGTTGTAATAGTTTCTCTTTACCCACTGTGAAAACTTACATAGTTATTATTCAGTATTATACTACTATGACATAGCACGTAAAATTAGAAGTTCATAATTTTCGTCACACTTATTTCTCCACACTAGCACACAGAATTATAAATGCTTGGCACACATTTAGAGCTATATTTAAGAAGTGTGACCATGTAATGAATATGATAATGAATATATGCTTTTATCACTCTTCCCAACTCAAGTGCTCAATTAAGAACTAACATATTCCTAGCAGTTCCTAGCAAGGTTGGATTTTCAGGGTTGTTTTTTTTTTAAAGCAACACAGAAATCAAACCAAACAATGCACATATTAACTAACAGAACAAATCAAAAATGAAGAAAATAAAAGCAGGACTACTTGTTTATCAAGTTCTTCAGTTTATTGATCGTAACTTGAAAGACTGAAGAAGACTTTGCTCGAACAAAAACAAATAAATAAATAAATGTTGAAAGAAAAAACAAATGAGAAGCTTAAATCAACCTAAAATTGAAAGTTTTACAGTTTTGATCTAAAAACAGGTGGTTATGATGAAAACTATTTTGAAATATTCACATGCTGTGGTGCTAACAGGTAACAGTCAGATCTGTTCTCCTGTTAAAACCATAAAATGTTAATTCATGATAAAGTTGCTCCGATCAAAACAAACGCTATAAAATGCATACAATATTTCCTTTGGAAAAAATCAAATCCAAGTATCATTTTAAAGATCTTTGGGATATTAGCTTGACTACGTGCTGTGATATCTACACTAACTTCCTGTTCAGTTTTAGGCAAATCACCAACAGTAATTAAAAATAGATAGTAAAAATAATGATAAAACTACTCCGCGGGATGAGTTTATACACACTTATACATATGCATACACATACACAAAACTGATCTGGAGGGGTATTAAAAGGAAAGTATTTTAAATAGAAAAAAAAAAACTTACAGGCTTTTTGGTTTCTATCATTAGAAGGGATGGAGGTTTCTCATTAGATGGTTGACTTTGTTGATTTTTTTGATCTGAGAATCGTGATGAAGGTTTGTAGATTTTACCTCGTTTTTCATCTGTTTCATGGTCCTCTGAAATTAAAAAAAACAAAACCAATTAACAAATACTTTACTTAGTTTAAAGTTTAACAAATCAACAACAACTAGTTATTTGTTTCCTATCTTCATCCCCACAACCCGTAGCCTAAAAATACATTTATTCAAAAAGAAAAAAGTCAAGATGAGATGCTATAATGGAATCATGCTCTCTGCAAGGTAAGTACAATAGTTAAGAAACACTTTAAATAAGTGCAGTTGGGAAACAAAAATAATACTTTTATTTTAACAGAAAAACAACTTATTTCACTAATTTGCTAAAGAGCTATGCAAACAGCTCCAAAAAAATATTTGTTTATTAAATTTATATCCTGCCCTATCCAAAAGGATCAAAGCAGTTAAAAGCTAACCACCATAGACACGATTCTCCAAACAACTCCTCCTCCAAAACCAAAGAACTCCAAACCTTCCCAGCACCACACTTCCCTGCCCAAAGCCCTACACAAGCAAACCCTCCCACCAATCCCAATCATGGCTTCCAACTGCCATTCAAATCCAGTTGGAAACCTTTTCCCAACCCTCCCTGCAACTCTCCACCTCATTCCCACCACCCTGCCTCAACTCTAAGGGAGATCCAAGTCTAAAGAGTACAGGGAGCTACTTACTAACAAAGAGATACGATATTTACTTTAAAATAAAATCCAAACCTCAGCTTTTCCTTTTATATTTACCTACAGCTTGCTGGGGTAAGTGTTGCCAAAATCCAACGCAGAAAATTCAGACTTACCACTCTTACCTTTGGATGCATTAACAACTCCTCCTCTCACAAATGTTTTTACTTTATTACCATCACTTCCTTCAAAGGCAGCAAGGAATTCTTCATAAATTTCTGCAGCAGCCTTCTCATCCTCCTATAGAGCAAGTATAAAACTTATTAGAGGTTCCCCAATACATCAGTAAATATCATATCCACACCAATAAAAGGAAAATTGACATTATCAGCAATTGGCTTTTTTTTGGCCGATGTAGCCAATAACGTCACTGATAAATGCCCGTGCACACGCACAGTCATAACACAGACATTGCCAGGAATGCAACACGGCAGTTTGGAGAGCAGCATCTGGCCAGTAAGTTGGGGGTGGGGACGGTAGGAAGGAGGGGCAGATTGAGGCCCCCATGGTGAGGGAGAGAATGGGCTGGGGCAGAGGAAGGCACTGCTCAGCCAGGGCAGGGAGAGACATGAGACAAAGCCATAGGCAGCTCATCCAGGAAGGTGAGGGAGGCTGGGAAGTGGGGGGCAGCTCCCAACACTCCGTGTACCCTGGGGGAGGCATGTGGGGCATGTGCCCCCCATCCGTATACAGGGCAAGGGCGGGCTGCCCACTGCGGGCTCTTCCCAGCAGCGGGGAGGAAGGATAGGCTAAGCTAGGACTGTGCTCAGGGCAAGCAGTGGCAGCGCTGAGAGAAGGGGTTACAGGGGGGAATATGATGAATCTTGGGTTGGCTATAGCCCTGCCATAAGCCTCCTCCCAGCACCACAACCACCCATGCCAGCCCAACTCTCCCACTAAGAGGTTAGCACAGCCCCCAGCCCCAAGCACACAGCTCACCCTTGCTCCATGCATAAATACAGTGGCACATGCCCCCCATGCCTCCCCCAGGGGTACGCACAGCAGCAAAAGCTGCCCTCTCCAGCCTGACAACCTGCCCACAGCAACATCCCATGCCCCACCCTGGCAGCATCTGGCTCTGTGTCCCAGCTCCACTCTCTCGCTCACTATGGGGGCCTCGATCTGCACCCCATACCTCTCCGCCCGTCCCCCCGCAACAGACTTACCAGCCAGACGCTGCTCTCCAAGGTGCCAGACTGCATATTGGCAATCAGATAGGTATCAGCCAATATAGCTGGTTAATAATCAGCCGTCGACCAAAAAAAATCTTTATCAGTGCACCCCTACTTTTAATTATTATTACAAAGTCTGAGACACAACTATTCTTAATCAGCCATAGGATTTTTTCTTTTATTTTCTAGAGTTCAAGAATTATGGGTGGCCCCATGACCAAATTATGCCAGATACATTTTCCTTTAAGACCGAAGGATTCAATTTTTCAGAGCAGAAATGTTGAAAGATTATGCCCATAGGAGTTGCACAAACAGCTAGATTTGTATAATCAAATGACTGTTCATTTAATAAATGCAGTTGCTTTAATGGTCTGCAATTTAGAAGACTAACAATAATGAGCACAAAATAATATTAGAAACCCTGGTTACAGTAGCTTCATTATACAGCTTTACCTTCTTTTTTAATTCCTCTTGTTCCTTCTTGCTTAAAGTCCTCTTGGCAGCACTCATTTTGCCAATACTGAATGCTTTAAGTTTGCTTTCCATAAGAGGCTGCAAAAGGAAGAGGAAAAGCAAAGCTTAACTGAATTTTTTTAAAATAATTCTTAAACATCTTTTTTATTTAATTCTAGCAACTAAAGCAATGCTTTACCTAAAAGACTTTGCCAATGCTACCTGCATTTAGCTGGAAGAACAGGAAAGCTACCTCAGACCCCCTTACAACCTGTAGTTTTCCAACAATCAATAAGATTTTGAAATAGCTTTATAATATAACTATTCATCTGTAGTCAGGTGAGAAGGCTTTCAGAAGAAAAACTCAGTAACACCAAGAAAACTTAGCTTGGTTATCTACTGTTATATTCTGCACAAACCTCTAAGAAATCTAAGTATGTTTGTGAACCTGTTACATGGGTACACAGATTTTAGGATTTACTGAAGCATAGTTGCTAAAACTCTAGAGAACAACATAATTTATATCAGGGCTATCTAACTGATGGATAATTTTAAGTAAAGTAAAAGCTTTGTTATCCGGCATGAGTGGGTAAAGGGAGTGCCAGTTATCTAAAAATTCTGGTTATCTCAGACTTATACCCTGCGCAGCCAGGATCGTAGCTGGCTCAGTCAATCTACTTTCTTTTATCTGTGCACAGGGCAAGGGCGGGCTGCAGCTGCAGGCTGAGTTCTGCTCCCTGCCCCTGCTTCAAAAGCAGCACAGCACCATGTGTGTCCCAACACCGAGTGGGCCAGACAGCAAGGCAGGCCAGTCCCAGTGCCACCACCACCTGCCCGCAGCATGGCCACCCCCGCCAGGAAGAGCCTGGCGTGGCCCCAGCCTCAGCCCACAGCAGCAGCCCACACTGCCCCGCACAGATCAATTAAATTCTGGTTAATAAAGTATTCCAGTTAGTAAAATGCCAGTTAACACAGCTTTTACTGTATTGTAAATTGCTATGCTACTTTTGGACTCTTTCTGAATTATCTTTGTTTTTTCCTCTCCAAACCTGATGGGTATATGAGCATATAACACAACACGCATTCAACTAAGTTCAAGTGTTGGTGACATGCTGATTAAATGTCAAAATGTATTTTCTCCTATAATATGGTTTCAATACAGATTCCTCCCAACCAATGCTTCCTCTAACATTCCAGCTGCTATTACAGCTAGG